TATATTTTTGGCTGTCTTTCATAATGAAATTATGACTTGGTGGAGATGGGGTTGTTAGTAAAATCTTAAAAAGCCATATCAGCTTCTACATGCTTGTGTGAACAGTTCAGATCCCAGGCTTGACATGGATTTTTTAGTCCTCTTTGTCAGTACCTTTGCAGTTATTTTGTTCTGACTGAATGTCTGGCCCAGAGTACTTACACCAGCTGTGACTCTTTGTGCTTCAGCTGTAGGTGTAGTGTTAATGGATTATTTGAGACAATAGCCACAAGAGAGAAATGGTTTGGCATTCATTTAAAAATTCATTAATAATACTTGTAGTGAGACTGCTTTTTGAGTGTATAAAGGTACATTCTTAGGCAAGCACATGCAAGACTGTTGGCTGGAATTTTGCATGTGTGGTGGTTAGGACAATGAATTATGCTGTTGAATAATTGTCCCTTTGAAGCTTCATTTAGATATTAGATTGAAATGTATGTAATTTTTTCTCTTTCAGAATCTACAGTTAGGGTTCAGGAGATAAAGATAATCAACAGTAACAATGGGAAACCTGACTTGTTGGAGCCTTGATGCTGCAGTTCCTCTCCAGTTTGTCTATATGAGACATCTTCTCCCGTGGAAGTTACTAAAGTGTAGATTCAATCAAATTTCCTAGAGGTGTGTTACCAGTCTTCTGCATTCCTGGAGAGAACACTCATTGGTAGCCAAACTGAAATATTTATAAGGAGGAGAAGTTTAAGTGTTAATTTGGGGAAGGGGAGTTGAAGGATCTGTTTTGGCAGTGCACAGTGATTCCCCCACCAACAAAAGCCCTGGGGCAGAAACTTGGGTAGGAACATGATGACCTTTTACACACAAGGATTTGATCTGTGAAGAGTCACATATGCTTGGCAGGTCGAGGGCTGATGGGGTAATGAGAGAATATATAAGCAGGCAGGTGAATTGAGGTATGTTAGTTATATGAGGTGTGTTTTACTTCAGTTCTTTAAGTATAGAGCAATATATCTTTTAAAGATGTTAAACAAAGTTATTTGTGAATCTTGTGAATGTACAACTAACTTCAGTTATTCAGTAGGATGTCCAACTGCCTCCCCCTGAAATTTTTATTTTGGCTGTATTTATTTTGGAATATATATATTATATGGTGGTGTACAAATGTTATTAAGTTTCTGCCTTTAGAGTGGATGAGGTGCGTGCACTTACATTACAGCAAATTAATAAGGAATTTACTCTGATTTAGTTTCTGTATTTTTGCTTTTGTTAGTGGTAATTGCTAGTTACTAAATAGTTAGGTAACTCCTCTGCTATTTTTTGCTGTATTCGTGCTTTAACTGTGTGTGGTTTATCCATTTACTCAACATTTTTTGCTTGTTTTTATTTTTATTCTGTTTTGCAAACAGGTTTTAAAAAAGCAGTAAGGTACAATGTTTTTGTTCACAGTGGTGTTTGTATATGCTGTGTAGGTCAGACTGATTTTAATGAAGAAGGTTTGCTCCTCTTGAAGATAAGTAAATAATAGCCATTATATACAACCAGGAATCCTTAAGGTTTTGTTGATGGGTTGGAACAGTTGAGTGCTTGGAGGTCTCAAGCAAGGCTAAGCTCTGCTTTGTGAGGCAGTTTCTAAGCGTGTAGTAATAGCTAATACTCCTCTCAAAAGGTCAGTGAGCACAATGGAGGAGAAAAAGTATTTTCATTTTATGCTCACTTGTAAAATTTTTTTGTTCAAAGATGCACAATAAAATGTGGAAAAGCTTGACAACTGCATTTTGCATTTTATTATGAAGTGCAAAACAGTCTTCTGCATTGTATCTCCTCCCTGTGTTTGCTTTTATTGAAGTTGTGTTTTACCACAGCTGTACATATGGTATAGAAGCTTTCTCAGTTTAGCTACCAGGCTCATCCCTTAAGCTGTCAACTGACCTGTTAAGAATGATATCTAAACAGAATCTCAATTTTTAGCTGTTCTACATCACTCAAGTGAAATGTGAATGTGTGAAGATGGATGCATGGGAAGCACAGTGTTATGGTATCAGATAAATTTAATCTCGGGCCTTAGAGACCTTATTAGTGCATCTTTAAATAAATTTATCTTCCTGTGTGTTTCTTGGCATCACTTTTTCCGACTGAGGACTGACACTCAGAAAAACAGAAGATACAACTCCCTCGCTTTGCTTTCTGTTATAAAGAGCCTACATTTAGAAGCCTCTGGTGCAGGGGGTTCTCAGGGGATGCTTCTCTCCTTTGTGATAAGAATCAAATGCAACAAGCAAAAACTTCTGTCGAACTGTATCTATGCATCAGTACCTTGTGTGCTGTCTCTCTGGGTTGTGTGCAACTGTTTTACAACCATTAGGTAAAAAAGAATAATTAAAGCCTTTAAAAACAGTGTACTTCACAGAAGGCCTTTTAGGAAAATATTTCATAAGAGACTATTTTTCCAGAATGAGCAAAAAGCAAAAGGGAATCTCTCAGGCAAAGGAGAATACATGCCCGTGTGCTTAAACATGATACACACGTTACTTGTGCTTCCTGTCCTGTGCTCTTTATTGACCCATGTCCAGGCATTTAGTGCACTACAGATCTTTAAAATGGCTTTAGTTCTATAATTGCTATTTGCAAAGGCCTCGTTCCAGGTCTCAGTGCCCCAAATGTATAATTTTCTGTTCTTTTGTACAGGTGCACAGACATACTGTAGATTTTCAGAAATGGCCAGCTGCTTGGTGATGGAAAGAAAAGACAGTTCTTTGGACTCAAATGTGTTTTTCAATATTGCTATTAAGTAACTTTTTAGTTTCTGGTGCATTTTCTGTGTATGGAAATGTGGAATATGACCTCTGTGATAGTATAAGCAATGGTGGTCTATGTAGGCAAATAGTAGTCATCCCTTTTGCTGTTGTTGAAAATTTATGATGTTTAGCTATATGATTTATCTCCTTCTACTCCTACCATAGCTTTTGAATCCTAAACTCTTTGGAAAAACATTCTAAGCAGGGAAATGTTATGGTGCTTATGTGTACTTAAGCTTTACGCTGGAAAAATAAAGTTAACGCTTTGAGTATTTGGTGATGAAAATGTAATGGGTAGTCAGGAATGCTGCGAGGTGCCTAGTGACATGTTTTAGCCAAAGTTCAGCCTGGAATTCATAGCAGACTCTACATGATGTTCCTTTTACTGTTTAGAAATGCTATTTGTTAGTACAAGGTGATCTGTATTGTGGTTTAATTAGCTATCAGAAATAGTGTGTTGTTTCATTAATGTTGTTGATATTGATAACGAGTATTTGTGTTATTGACAATGCAGCTGTTGTCTAGCTGTTAATACAACTTTATGCTTGAAAAACAAGTCTTATGTTCATATATTTTGCTGCTTTTGAATACAGTGCTCTTGGCTGGACAAGGGAAAGGCATTTTCAGATTTTGTTGGGTGCAGAGTTGAGCAAAGGCCGGGCACACTGCAGACAACTGCAGTTGGAACTGTTCCGCATAACCTGAAAATGCCAACTTTTTGGGAGGCCAATGGTAGTTAAATCTGTATCTAGATTTGCTCTCCATGTCCACGAGCAAGCTTCCCTCTACTTGAAGAAGAGAGTCCCCTCACAGCCTGAACCAAACCTGGTCATGATTACTTATTGCTACACTTCAAATGGAAAGCTTTAGAGGCCTGTCCGAGCATCACTGTGCTTGGTGCTTGTACTTTAAATGCCTCAGTTGTTTTCCCTGCTTTTATCAAGGCATGCTATTTTTAGTGTGTGAGTGAACTTGTAGCCCTTTTCCATAGAATCATGGAATGATCTGTGTTGGAAGATCATCCAGTTCCAACCCTCCTGCCATCAGCAGGGACACCTTCCACTAGACCAGGTTGCTCAAAGCTTCATCCAACCTGGTCTTCAACACTTCCGGGAAGGAGCAGCCACAGCTTCTCTGGGCAACCTGGTCCAGTGTCTGACCACCCTCACAGGAAAGAATTTCCTTCTAATATCTAATCTAAATCTACTCTTGTCCAGTTTATAACCACTGTCCCTTGTTCTATCACTACATGCCTGTGTAAAAAATCCCTCCCTAGTCTTCCTGTAGGTCCCCTTTAGGTACTGGAAGGTTGCCGTAAGTTCTCCCATTTTTCATTCACTTCAATCTTCCAAAATAAATAAATAAATAAATAAAAAATTAAAAGCCCAAAACAACTGAACACCCCAAAACAAACTCTTCAAGTAGTGGACAACATGAAGCATTCTCAATGAAAATGCTGTATGTCAATGTTAACTTCAGAATTGTCTGTTCTTCATTATTGTGTGAAGCAAATTACCAAATTTGGTTTTAAAGTCCTGGAGTACTGTGAGGATTCACTATTGTCATATTAGACTATGTATAAATACATGGGATTCCTTTGAAGGTCTTTGTCAAGTACAGATCGCCAAGTTGCTTTGATATTGAGAAAAATATTAACTGTAGCATCATAGATTATGATCTCCAGAGCATCCAATTTTTTAAGTAATTTCTTTGATTGCTGTCATCCGCTACAACCTCTGCTTTGCAGTGAAGCTGATTAAAATGCTTTCACGTGGCAGTCTTCCAGATGAATATTGATTATCTTGAATTATATTCCCATGTGCTGTATGTTGGTTGATAGTGGAGAATGAGTTGAAAACATAGCCATGGGAAATGCTTGTGTATTGTAATTTTCTGTTCCCCATCTTCCTGACACTTAGTTTCTTAATTTGGGACTATTCAAATATATTTTATTTTTGGCACTGCTCTTTTAAACCTTAATTCTTGTAATCCAGTTTTCTGTTTGGAAATATCATCAGTTCTTTGTGGAGGATTTTGTGGAGGAAACTAAATTTGTGGAGGAAACTAAAATAAAATTCTAAGAATACTTATATTTGTATCTTTTTTTTTTTCCCCCCCTGAAGCTTGTTATGTAAAACTGCTAAGCACTGCTAGAAAATAAGCCATTGGTTATAACAAGATTATTTTACTTCCAAAACAGGTGTCTGGAAAATGGAGAAGACTTTGAACAGGATTCATCCAGTTTCTGATCCAGAAGCAACGTATTTTCTACAAGTATCATGGGAAAAAGATTTAGGCACTGGCTTTGGTATAACACTTAGTGATGGTCAATGTGCATGGACTGGGACAGGTAATAATGGAGAGAAAAAAAGTTTCAAATTATTATGGTTCTTTATTTTTAAACACTTTTTAAACTGTGACCCACAACTTGCATCAAAAACTTTTATGAGTATTACCTCTTTACCTCTCTCCAGTGATGGAGGATGTGGAGTGGGGTTCATGATCTCCTGGAACATGGTCAGAGATCTTTCAAATCTGGAAAGATTGTGTGCCAAACCTAATGCTATATATATAAATAGTGCTTTCTGTATATATGTGTGTATATATATATACACACACATACATGTATACAAGCTATATATATGTGTGTGTATAGTTCCTGTGTATAAAAAGAAACTTAATCATTCATTAACCTTCTTTTGAATACAATTTTTACCTTTTTTTCCTTTCAGACATCGGGAGCAAGACTAACTTAAAATATGTCTACATATTAAATCTGCTTTCCTGTAATCCATTTAACAGTTCAAACATACTACTGATTGGGAGTTCCTGGACAAGACAAATACATGTATTCCAATGTGGATTCCCTGTAGTCTGATATGAAAGGTTTTTCTTTCTTTATTTGACGATAGGATAGTCAAACTAAATATTTTCAAAATAACTGAAAGGATTTTAATTTTGATAAATACCAGTTTTTCAGTTTACAAGCTTTTTCGGTTGTTCTTATGTAACTTTAAAATCTCCAGCTTGAAATTCACAAAAAGCTGATTCTTTCAATCTGTTATTTTTCTAAGGAAAAGCTATGTTACTATAACTGGAAGAGTATAGAAAAAATATGTAAACACAGTTCTCATTTTGTTAACTTCCTGCATCTGGCAGAATGGGTGGATGATAATTTTGCAAAACAGGGGACCAGTAAAAGCAAGATGACCTCACTCTATTAAAAGAAAAAGAAACTCACAACAGTTTAGCAACGACCACTGGGTACTCATCCAAAGGAGAGAGCTTCTGTTTCTTCTGCAAGAATCTGATCCATTTATAAGGAATGAAAAGTAGTCCTTTGAATAATTTAATTAGGAGTTTAAGTTAAATTCTTGTGCATGCGGCTTTCCTACTGCACAGATCTGTGTTTTCATACACTCAGCATTCTTTTTGATTACTTTTTCTAAGTTATTACATCTCATTTTAGACTGCTTAGATTCTAAATTCAAAACCTAGGATGAGGGAAAGCAGTGGTCAGAAAATTCGTGCTATGGGAAATCCCTTTTGGGTTTCTCATGCTGTGGATTATTTTGCTTGGCAAGACCTACCAGGAAGTGAATGAGAGTTGCTGATGGAGTTGTCTTTTATGTTTTTGTATATTTAATGTGATGATGAAAAGTGTTAGGAGTCTGTTTAAGGAGGGGAAAAAAAAAAAAGTAAATCTTGGCAGGGAGGAGAAGCACCCAAATACGGAGTGTGATCCAAAGTATTCACCTGGTAATGAGCTAAAGAATTACAGATATATTAATTTATACATTTCATGTTTCTCTAATGATTGATCAGTTCTGCTAGTTTGAAAAGAACACGCAGCATTTACAGGCACCACAGGAGAAAAAACCCACATTGCTCTATTACATATTAGAAAAAAGATGGTTGTGATGTCCGTTCAGTGAAAAAAGGTTTCAGTTGCACCTTTATCCATTTATCTCTCTCTGTGTCCTGTTTGTAAAGATTTTTTTGAACCTCAATTTACTGAAGAGAGCTGCTGCTGACTTTTTGCTCTGTTTAAATTTATCTTGTTGGGTTGTAGGAATACATTTGGAAAGTATAACATGTTTTTCAAATGACATATACTCTAATATAATTGTTTTGAATCTTTAGTTTATTAGATGTCTCACAGTGTTTCAGTGCCTTAAAGCTCATCATTATTAGGCTGTAGACAAAAAGTTCATGTACGATTGTCTGTTACATCTGCTGTAATGGACAACAGAATATAGTTTACGTTTTGGGAGATGTACTTTCACAAAGAGCATGCATCTTGAGTTTACAAATCTGTAGGGACATGCATTCTAGTGTGCCACACTTCTTGTCTTCTTTTTTTCCAGCTCCCCCCCATTTTTTTTCCTTCTCTGCAATATAGATAACACAACTGAAAATGTAAGGATAGAAGCATTTTCTCCAATCCCGGAATACTGATTATGAAGTTATTTTATTTCTGGTTTATTCTAATGCAAGCCCCACAGCATTCCTATGTTATTTTTAATGTATACTGCAATTTCTGACATCTGCTGAATGTGTGTGTTGTTGCAGACCTGGTAAAATGTACTGTGCCTTTTCTTTTTACTTTATGTTAAGCTAATATGAGTGTGACAGGTTTCCTCTTGTATCTTTAAAAGAGGAAGGGTGCGGAGAATGCTCAATTTCAAGCATTATCTCTTAAGGAGAATATGGGGACCTCTGTGACAGACTTCAGACTGTCATTGGCCTGACATTTCACATCTTAGTGTGACAAAGATTGACTTGCTCATATTTATTGAGCCCAATTCCATTAATTTTTTTTTCTCCTCTCTTATCATAACTCCAAAGCATTTCAGTTCCCTTGCATCCCTTTGCTTTCTAGCTTTTGAAGGACCTAACACATTTGAATCTGCCCAGGAAAAAATGCCTTGTGCTAGGGGATAACTAATGTGATTCTGACCCATTAAAATTATCCTTTTAACTGAGTGTATCTGCAGGCTCAGATTTTCCACAGAAGTGGGTAGTTTATTCTTGTGTCAACTGTTTGTTTCCTTACAGTGGTGGCATTAGCATCCTCTCTGTCTTGCCACCTGCATTTCTTTTTTCAGCTAGCTGTTTGCCTGTGTCTTATAAACAGGGTAATAGGGTGGGGTGTTATTGACTGACTGGCCTGGTCAGATTTTGCAGACTTACAGTCATAACTTAAGGTAATTAGCAAGGTAGGGTTTCTCTTTTGTATGCACAAATAGTTGATGTATTTGTGAATAGATGACCTAACTGGTTATTGTGACCTGTTATTAGAAACACAAACAAAACTCCCCACAAAAACAAACAAACAATAAAAAAACCCAACAAATTTATCCTCAGTTAAATCTAAGCTCAGTAAAGTCTAAATGTTTTACATATTTTGAGATGTGTAGAGAGGAGGACTACACAAGCTAATACTTATGAACAAGGAAGACCTGGTTGCGTAAGTCAAAGCTAGGGACAGCCTTTGGCTGCAGTGACTGTTGAGTTGATGGAGTTCAGGGTCATGAGAGGAGGGAATGTAGAAAAAAGCAGGATAACAAGCCTCGACTTCTGGAGAGCAGGCTTTGACCTCTTCCAGGAATCCTGTAGGATAAGGCTCTGGGGAGGAGACGTCCAGGAGAGATGCTTGATTTTTCAGGGTCATCTCTTCCAAGCTCAAAAATGGTTTATCTTACAGGAATAGGAAATCATGCAAAAGTGTCAGGAGGCCTGCATGGATGAACCTGTTTAGCTCCTGGCTAAACTCAGACACTGAGAGGAAGTGTACAAGAGGTGGAAGCCTGAGGAAGTTGACCAGAGAGGGATATAGAGATAGTAGCCAAGCATGCCGAGATGAATTTAGGAGAGCCAGAGTCCACCTGGAATAGCATCTGGCAAGAAAAGTGAAGGGTAATTAGGTCTTTTGCAAGCTAATCATCAGCAAAAGGAAGATGAGGGATAACGTGGGCCTGATGTGGAATGGGCCAGGGGGACTGGTGATGAAGGACATGGGAAAGACTGAGGTACTACTACTCAGTGCCTTCTTTGTCTGAGTCTTTGTTGTTTAAGATTTGCCTTCAGAAATCCCAAGTCACTCTGTTCAGTGGGAAAGTCAGGAGCAAAGGAGACAGCCTTGGAGAAGGGTCAGGTTAGAGAGTATCTTAGGAGACGATGTACATGAGTCCATGAGACCTGATTAGATGAGACTGACATGAGACTGAGGAATCTGGCCCATGTCATTGTGAGGCCACTCTATTATTTTTTCAAGGTAATAGTGGTCAGGGGGTGTTTTTAAGGACTGGAAGAAATCTTTCCAATCTTTGGGAAGGATAAGGGGATAGAACTGGGTAATGGGAGGCTGGTCAGTCAGAGAATGTTGGAGGAATAATCCTGCAAACCATTTCAAAAAATATTAAGGACAGGATGATGAGTAGTCAGTATGGATTTACAAAGGGACAATCATGCCTGACCCACCCAGTAGCCTTCTTTGATGAAATTTCTAGCTTGTTGAATGAGGAAAGGGCAGTGGATGATGTTTATTTTCGCTTTAGCTATCAAGGCTTTCAACACTGTGTCCTCTTAACATCCTCATAGACAAACTGGTAAAGTATGGACTGGATGAATGAACAGTCAAATGGATTGAGCTCAGCCAGTTCAACCAGATTTCAGAGGGTTGTGATCAGTGGCATGAGGTCTAGGCTGGAGGCCAGTTACTGGTGGCCCTGAACCACAGAGGTCAGTACTGCGTCCACTACTGTTAACATCTTCATTAATCACTTGAGTAATGACACAGTGCATCCTCAGCAAATTTACAGATGGTGCAAAACTAGGGGGACGACTTGATAGAGGATTCGGTTGCCATTCAAAGGGACCTGAAGAAATGCACTGACAGGAATCTCATGAAATTCAACAAAGGGAAATGTAGAATTGTATACCTGGGGAGGAATAAGCCCCAGTCTGTACTGGTGACCTGGGTGACTGGCTGGAAGCAGGTCCCTTGTTGAAAAGGACTTGTGAGTCCTGGTGGACAAGTAGTTGAACGTGGGCCAGCCATGTGGCCTTGTGGTTAAGGCAGGTAAGAGTCTTCTGGGCTGAATTAGGAAAAGTATTGCCAGCAGGTCAAGGGAGGTGATCCCTCTCTTCTGTTTGGCACTAGTGAGACTTGATGTGCAGGGTCCAGTTCTGGGCTCTCCAGTGTGAGAAAGACATGACCTTATGGAATTGAGTCCAGTGACAGTACATGAAAATGAGTGAAGGACTTGAGGATCTATTATGCTAGGAGGAGCTGAGAGTGCTGGGACTGTGCTGCCTGGAGGAGAGAAGGCTCAGGGAGATTTTATCAATGTGTATTAATTAATACCTGAGGAGAGGAAGTAAAGAAGATGCAACAGGCTCTTCTCAGTGATGTCCAGTGAAAAGACAAGAGGCAGTGGGCACAAACTGAAACACAAAGAAAATTCCATTTAAACACAAGACAAAACTTTTTTGCCACAGGGGTGACCAAGTAACAAAACAAATTGCTTAGAGAGGATGGGGAGCCTTAGTTCTTGGAGATACTCAAAACCCATGGAAAACATAGTCCTGAGTAACCTTTTGTAGTTAACCATTCTTTGATCAGTGGGGTTGGACTAGGCAATTTCCGGTGGTCCCTTCCAACCTCAAACACTCTGAGTCTGTGAAAATAAGCTAAAATTACTGAAGGTGCAGAATTAATCCAGAAATCCTGAAGTGTGTGAGGATATAACTATTCATAGCAAATAAATGTACATTTACATCTTTGCTGTATTTTTATATGGTGGATTGATTCAATATGTACTGTGTCCTTTGCAAAATGAGGTTAGCTACTGTGTCAAGAAGAAGGTTGGAGAAAAATGAGGCAACTTGAACAGGATCATGTTTGAAATGCTGTTCCGTTTCTATCAGTACATGTACAGGCTTATGTCTTAATATGAAACTATCTTCAAAGACATTTTTATAGAGAAGAAATGTAATTATTAATTACAGGAGTTTTAAGTGGAATACTTTTTAAGTCACTTGCAGTTCTGTGAAGGATGGAGGATGTGTTTGGGGTTTTTTTCTGGGTTTTTGGGTTGGGTTTTGGTGTATGTGTTTTTGTTGTTTCGTGTGGGTTTTTTCACAGTGCCATAAACTAATGTCCTTTTGCATATCTTGCTCTCTCAACTGCTGAGTAAATGTTAGGAAGGACTAAGGGCAAGCAGGGGTAAATGACAATCTAGAGCAGTCTTCCTCAGAAGATTGGTCAGAAGAAAAGAAAAAAACTTCTGTTAATCAATTAAACAATCTAAAATACTGTATTGGTAGGCTACACATTAAAGCCTGCATTACATCATACAGATCCTATCTTAATTTTAATTTAGATTCTGCTTTTATCTGTCTGTGCAAGAAACTGCACTCCTTATTGAGATTGTTATTCTGATTAACATTTGAGCTCTGAAAGTACTGAGGAAACAGTATGTAGAATAAAATAAAAAGGAAAGAAACTAACCAGAGGCCCAGGTGGTAAAATCAAGAACTGTTTCTTGCTACTCCTAGTGAAAGATGATGAATCTTGGTAAGCTGCCATTTCAGTGTGAGAGTTAACCAAAAGAAGATTTAGGATGAAATAAGTTATCAGAAGCAGACAGGAAAAGCTATCATGGGTTTTAACGACAATACATCTTTACTGGCCTGTTCTGTAACATCTTCAGCCCTTCTTAATCTTCAAGGGAATGGAATAAAATTTTCTCTATAGACCTGATGTAATACAAACTGGAGACACATCCCCCATTTAGTGGTCCTCCAGTGTGAACAGTAAAAAATGGATTCTCAAATCTCTAGGTGTATCTTCATTTGTAAATTGACAGTTTATTTTGTTTTAAGGTTGTAAGTTACAGACTTGGAAAACTGGATCAAGAATATTTGAGGAGACATTTGTATCTGTTGTCTTACAGGGTTTATATTATATGCTTCCAAAGAGAACTGAGAGGTCACAACAAATGGTAGTTAAAAGATTCCACTCTTTGTAAGGTTAGTGTTCCTCAGGATAACTTTAGGCAAGTAGAATTGTGAACTGGTAGCAATAAACCATTTTCAGACGGGGAAAAAAAGGGACATAATTTAATTCTTATAAAAAACACAGTATTGCTGCTATATTTCCATTAATGTCTGGCACATGGATATATGTCAAGGAAACAATCTCCTAATATTTGCCCATCCCTTTAAGATGCGTGAGTGTGTGTCTGTATGTACATATAAATATATATACATGTTCACATGCATATGAGTATTTATTTCTCACATGTTTCTTTCTGATAGTGTCTGAAGCTGAAATTTCTAGGGAGGCTGATGACATGGAAATGAATAGAGAAAAGTATGTTGAAGAGCTGAAGAAAGCATTGATAGCTGGAGAAGAATCAGCTGGCAAATATAACTTTGCTATTTCAAGAGATGAAGAAAATATGGAGTGTCACTTCTCTTATGAAAGGAATCTGAAAGATGGCTCTGTAAGTATAGTTAAATATGTAAATTTGACTGTTAAACTATGAGAATTACCTTCTTGGTACATTTCTGTATTTTATTAGTTCTTTAAAATCAAATAGACCTGTGATACATATTTCAAATTGAATGATTGTGAACTCTGCCATGGGCCAAACTAGGAACAAGTTTGTCATTTCCTATCAAAACCTGATATTAATAGAACTATTTCTGTGTTACTTTCTTAAATGCCTACTGAATAAGAGTATTAGTTTTCTATTTAAGTTTCAGATTAGTGTCATAATAGGACAAGGGGTAATGGTTTTAAAGTGGCAGAGGGTAGGTTTAGATTAGGTATTAGGAAGAAATTCTTCACTGTGAGGGTGGTCAGACACTGGCCCAGGTTGCCCAGAGAAGCTGTGGCTGCTCCTCCCTGGAAGTGTTCAAGGCCAGGCTGGATGAGGCTTTGAGCAACCTGGTCTAGTGGAAGGTGTCCCTGCTGCTGGCAGGGGGGTTGGGACTGAATGATCTTTAAGGTCCCTTCCAACCCAAACCAGTCTATGATTTTATGATTTATATTTTCTCTTTTTTTTTAAGCAATGTATCCCTACATCTTTAGAATTAAGTTGATATGTTCCACAACCTGTAACTTTGTTTTTAATTCCTAACTTAGGAAATATGCTTCTTTTTGGAAATTCCAGTCCCCAGTGCATTTCTGCTTTGCTTGCTTCTTTATTTTCTCTCTATACTTACCTAAATAAATAAAAATATTAAAATTTAAGTAAAATTATTTTCAAATGCTAAAATATACTTTTAAAATGAGCATTTAGATTACTTTAGATATTTTGGAGACTAACAATAAAATTGTTTCCTGCTTGGAAATGCATTAAATTACAACTAGGAATGTTGTTCCATTTTGGTTCCTTGGCTGCAAAGGGAGGGACTCTCTCAAAGCAAGAAATAAACCAGTATAATCTGTGTAGACACTTCTGGCTATTTCAGGTTGTGGTTTGGTGTTAAAGCTTTTCTGGGGAAGAAGCTAATTTAAGGTAATCATCCTTGGTTGTACTCTTTTCTTTTTTTTTTCTTTTTTTTTTTCTTTTTTTTTCCTTTTTCTCCTGTAAAAGGTAATGCTATATCTTTCCCAAGGTTTGTCACAAATTCAGTTGTGCTAGGATAAAAGTTGGGCTGACTAGCCACTCAGCCACATTAGTGAAATAACTTGGATTTAAAAAAGCACTGATTTAAAATTGCACTGATCCAAATTTGTACTGATCCAGTTCAGGGCACAGTTCTGCAGTCAGTTTCACTGGCATTGTTGAGGGGAAGAAAATTGTGGGGAGAGAATGGAGATGAGGTTGCAGATAGAGCAGAGAAGGAATGCTTTTGGCCAGATCTCTTTTTCTCCTGGGGAAAAAAATATAGCATGGGGTTGTATCCACAAGCAAAGTGTCTAGGGATTGTCCTACTTGTGTTGCTTTAAAAGATTTCTACTTCAAACCATTGGGATATTCTTTGCTTCTCATTTGGTTATTTTTGCCAGGTACCACCTTTTAAGAAACTAGCAGAGGTGTCTGACTTGTAACAAAAACCACAGACCAAATCAAAGAAACTACTTTATCTGGGATGTGTCAGTTGGAAGGGGAAGGTGGAAATACTTTTTTCCTTTTAATTGGAAATAGGCAAATAATGCAGTATAGGTGTTGGTCAGAAACCTAAAATAAGTCGTGTATTTTTCATGTATTTGTATCTGTTAAATAAGATGAGGAAAAATTCACTTTACAGAGAGGAGGCATCTATATTACCTAATCAGTAGTAGCTCACTTACGTGCTTATGGTCAGAATCTCGGCTTCATTTTGGTAAGCAGAGAAAGAGAAATTCAGTGGAATGAAGTTCAGCTTCCTAAGAGTACTTCATTATAGGTCTTTTTCCTTGTGCAACAGAGGAAATTTAAGCACAATTTGGCTGAGGTACCGAAAATTAGGTGATGTAAATCTTCCAATCTTCCAATCTCCTTTATCAATATTTCTATGTATTTACCCAAAGCCTTATTGGCTCTATACCACCTTCTTGGCACTCCTTGTGAGCACACAGGGCTGAGTGTTGTTCACACAAAGGGTCTAGGTCAAAAGTACTGTATTACAGTAGGATTACAAGGTTAGGACCAAATTTTACTTAGAAAATAAGAGAAGTAGTTTTAAGAATCCTGTTTTCCTTGTCTGTGTCACACATAGTATGTTCTAAATACCAGACAGATGAAATATGTACTATTTTTTTATTAAGGGAAAATATCTTCACATATATGGTCCCACCTATTATAGGTTTTCATCAATTAAGGCTTATGAGAAACTTAATTCATATGAAAGGATCTTTATGTCAATTTGGGAAAATAATAATCTGTCCAAAGAAACTGAAAATGCAAAGTATCCTGATTGCTATGCATGTTTGTAGCTTTGGGTGTCAAAATAGTGTTTTTTAGAAAATATGTAATTTCTTGGGTGAAAACACACCTTTTTTTTTTCCTCCTGTACTAGACTAATACCTACAAATAAAATTGCCAAAGCCTTTGTCAGAATTACAAATAGCTTTCAGGTGTATAATAGAATATGTTTCAAACATTTTGCAAATTCTCTGTGAAAGTATTTCATGATATATATCTTTCACCATCTGATTAGAAAATTAATCCTCCTGGATTCTGTACATTCAGAAAGCTGAGATCCATCTAAATGTACATTTACCTCAGAGGAAGCCTGGAGAAACTACTCTGCAACTTAAACACTACTTATCTCTTATCTGTACTTCTTTTTCTTACTGGGTATTTCTTTTGCTTAATTTTTCTGAATATTTTCTCTTTCTCTTTTTGCAACTGTATATGTACACAAATTACAACCTTCCCAGTCTTGGGAGGAGTGTTGTGGAGTGGGGGGAATGGGGACAGGGCAATGATTGCCATGTATGTGTGGAGACAGAAGAGCTTTTGGTTAAACTGTACTGCATTTCTTTTGTTGAATGTGCTACCTGCAGTCAAACTGAGAGATGTAGTTAGTCTTCATGTTGTTATTTAAAAATGTAGGCATAAAGGAGAAGGAACAATAATTTCCAGTTTTGACAGTAGTGCATATAGTACTACTTTCAAGTTCTCCACTTCTGCTTTCCTACCCCATTATGTTATTAATCACCATTGTAAGAAATGTCCATTAAATTGTAAGGAATAATTAGAGGATTACTATTCTTAAACCAATGTTCTTATCGTTTGATATATAACAAAAGGAAAGATTACAGAAAAGTATACATGAAAATGTGGTTGGTTGTGTGTTTGAGTAATAAATGTTTTGTTTAGTGTTTAATAACGTGATTAATACTTTTTAATTAAAAAACCCACAAAACTTTGGAAATGCATTGTTATACTTCGTGAGCTATAAAAGAAAGGCTTATAAATTCATGAACCTATCTATTATTCCAGTTTTTTTTTCATCCATTGAGTACATAGATGTCTTGAAATAAATTTTGTACTCTTGGAAAATCAGTAGTTAGAGGTATATGCACGCTTGTATACACAAACTTTATTATTTTAATTAATTTTAATGAAACCAGCCTACAGCGTGATGTTGAACACCCACAGTCACTTCTGTCCATCTCAGCCAGTAATTTCCAGTGCAGTGCTCTGCATCCAGTCTGGATAAACCACTAGTTCCTATCAGAAATGAAGAGTAGAATTTTAACAAAATAATTTGCCTTTTTTTTCTTCTGAATACATCATAGATTTAGTTGTGTTACGTCCTTATTTAGAAATGCAATTTACACAGTCTATAAATAATTTCTGGTTGAAAAGTCTGAGTTTTAGGTACATGATGGGTATACTGCAAGTGGAATGACTATGTTAAAAGCATCTTAAAATATTCATGGTGGTAAATTCTTGCAGTTTGTAAGATAAGTTGCTTCTTATTCTGTCTTCCTGTCAGGAAAAATCATATTTATTTGTAGATACTGCAGTTTAAAATAATAATCTCAAATAACATTCTTGATGCATTTATAATTCATAGTAGTTAATAATAGTATGTTGTTCGTTAATTTTTGTTTTGTGCTTCATATGTAGACTAGGACTAGTCTAGTTACTAGACTAGTAAACAGATCTAATTTGTCACGAATAACAAAAGCTTCCATGTGGTAGTGCATCAGAAGTTAGGGTTTAAAATTTAAGCCTTAAAATGCAGTGTTTACATTATTACAGATCAGTAATTTAATAATTTTTGACAGGTATGTAGTAAAATTAGTATGTCACCAGTGTCCCTTGTTTATTTATTTTTTTTTTCTCTTGATGAGCATAATTTTCAGCTTGGTAATTAGCAGTGTTTAAATACTATATGTATATATATTATATAATTTATAGACACATAATTAATTTTCGGGAGCTTAGTGAAGGTATAAATCTGAAATACTCTATTTTCAATAGTTTGTTTTTCTGAGGTTTTTTTTTTTTTTTTTTTTTTTTTTTTTTTTTTTTTTTTTTTTTTTTTTTTTTTTTTTTTTTTTTTTAGTCATGCACTTTAGCGTTTGTTTTCCAGTCTTCTGGGAGAGAATATCTGTAGGTGATTTTGGGCTAGTGGACTGTTAACAGTCACTTGATTATGATAAAATATATTAGTTTCTGAATTTTTGTTTCTGTAACTGTACTAAATCATTATACTTGATATAATTTTTATCTTCTGTGGAGCAGCTTGCTATAGATCTGCTTCCCTAAAATATAATCATGTGCCAAAACTGTACTGGGTGGTCTATAGGAGTGCAAATAAAAATAATGGAGTGATGTTAAGCACAGGAGAATGTAGGCATATGATTGGGAATTATCTTTTGACACTGAAATTTGTTTTAATGCTGAAGTGATTACTGGAGGTTGTAGCAGCTCCATTGTGTCAGTCACTTAAAAACGGACTGGACGGAGGAATGGAAAATACACCATAAGTCACTATCCTGCATTGGCAGGACTTAATAGGTGTTCTCTATCCCAAAAACCTCTGTGTCAGTCAC